GCGGGCGGAAGTGACGTCGTGCGGGCGGGCCTGGCCGCGCACAATGGGCCATGGAGTTCCCTTTCGATGTGGATGCGCTGCTCCCGGAGCGGATCACGGTGCTGGACCAGCACCTGCGGCCCCCGGCCCGCCGACCCGGAACCACAACGCCGGCCCGGTGACATCTCGATCCCGCCCCGTGGCCGTTTTTCCCCGTTCCTTCCCAAGCCCGGGCCAGGCACCACGCCCCCTTCTCTGCCTGGCGGCCACTCCTTCCAATATCCTTTCTAGCCTTGTAATCCTAAATCTGGTGGCACTGATCAGTGCTTGGATATGTGACTTTTTACCCCTTGGCTCTATTCGGTCCCAACCACAGCCCGCGGGTTGACTTGCCTTCCCTGTTCCCCGTAGTAACCGCAAAGTAGGAAAGTGTCCCACCTGGAGAGATGTGACAAAAGTCCGGGTTCCAGAAGGGTGGTGTGGGACATCGGGTTGGAATCCCCCAGGCAAAGGCAGGGAAGCTGGAAGTTTGAACCTGGCTGGAGTTGTGGCCCGGGTTCCTGGTGAGTGTCTGTCTCCTCTTTCCACAGTGTTGATCTGCAGCAGCAAATTATGACCATTGTCGATGAACTGGGCAAGGCTTCTGCTAAGGTAGTGGCTGGCTGGAGTCAAAAGGGGACCTCCGGAGTTTCGGGTAAAGGGAAGCCCGGGTCCTTTGGAAGGGATTTGTGGAAAGCCCGTCTTTGTATCCTCTTTCTCCACAGGCCCAGCACCTTCCTGCTCCAATCACCAGTGCGTCAAGGATGCAGAGTAACCGCCATGTTATCTATGTGCTCAAAGACACTTCTGCCCGGCCGTGAGTGTCACGTGCACCCTTGTCCCCTTAACCTCCTGCTCCCTCAGCCCTTCCCCTTCTTTGACCCTTCTTCTCCAGACATCTGCCACTGGCTTGTTCATTGTTGTTGTCTTCATCCTACAGGGCTGGGAAAGGAGCTATTGTTGGTTTCCTGAAAGTTGGATACAAGAAGCTCTTTGTACTGGTGAGTGTTGTTGCAAGCTGGGGACCTGAGTGCCTTAGTTCCAGAGAAAAAAAGTGCTGGAGGTTGAGAGGTGACAAAGATTCCTGGAACTCTAAGGTATTTGTTGTTCTTCACCCCTTAGGATGACCGAGAGGCTCACAATGAGGTGGAGCCACTTTGCATCCTAGACTTTTACATACATGAGTCACTGCAGCGTCACGGCCACGGGCGAGAACTCTTCCAGTATATGCTGCAGGTACCCCCACTCCACTGATTCATCCAAAATAAAAATAAAGGTCCCTTGCCCTAAGCCCCTCCAGAGGCCCTGCCACCCTGGCGCTGGAAGTGTTTCCATGGCCGCCGCCTGTCTCCTTCCCAGGCTCCTGACTTCCTTTTGGCATGCTTTCCCCAAAACTCTTCCTACCCAGAGTCTCCTATTCCCTGCAGAAGGAACGGGTTGAGCCCCATCAGCTAGCCATCGACAGACCCTCTCAGAAGCTGCTGAAGTTCCTGAACAAGCACTACAGTCTGGAGACCACAGTCCCGCAGGTGAGAGCCTCGGGGAGAGCCCCACTGGGACCTTCACTAGGGAAGCAAATGGCACCCTTCCAGAGCTCCTTATTCCTTGTGGTCTAGGCTTTGTTTTACGTAGCTGAGCCCTTTCTCTTGCCATTGCTCATGAGCAGCCATTTCACCTCCTCCAGCCCTTTCCCCCCTCAGCATGTCTCCTTGGTTTTGCACACCCCATGACCCAGTCAGCCAACATTTACTGAAGTTTAATGATAGTAGATATTTGTTCCCTGTCTTCAAGGGGTTTTGGTGTAACATTGGGGGGGGTGATCTTGTTTATAAGTACAGTAATGTGGGGGCCGGGGAGATAGCTCAGTGGAATAAGTGCTTCCCTGGCAAGTGCAAGGGCCTGAGTTCAATCCCCGGTTCCACCAAAAAAAAAAAAAAAAAAGTACAGTAATGTGTTATCAATGCTACACATTCATTCAACAGATATTTATTGAGCACATGATGTTGTGAACACTTGGAATGCTTTATTCAATGAAGCAGCCAGAAATTGCCCCTTGTGGACTTCATATTGTGGCTGGGGGAGGAAGGACATAAACAACCATGTGCTATGGTTCGTGATAAGCACTCTGGATAAAGAAAGCAAGTGAGAAGGCCTAGAGGTGCCGAGGTGGGACTTGAGAGCTCAAGTGGGCCAATTGTAGCAGCCCTCACTGAAAATGTATTGTTGAGCAGCAATTTACGGAAAGTGAACATCTGGGCTGGAGGTGTAGCTCCGTGGTGGAGTGCTTGGCTAGCGTGGATGAGGCCTGGGTTGAATCTTCAGCACCAGAAGAGAACGTCAGCATCCCAGATGGGCAGCGGCCACTGCAGTGGCCTCACGGTGGGGCTGCCCAGCTGGAGAGCAGTGTGAGGGAGAGTGGGGGCTGAGCTGAGAGCTGAGAGGGACTGGAGCAGCACATCCCGGCCTGCTCGCAGACTGGAGTTGACGCTGAGTGAAAAGCAAGAGCACTTTGGCTGTGACCTTGTTGTTTGTAACAGACTGTCTTGGCTCCCGAGTGAAGACCGTGCAGGGGAGAAGCAGGCAGGCAGTTGGGCAAGGGATGGGGCAGAGAGACTGAGCGTGCCTAGGCTACTGACGAAGTAACGGGAGAGCAGAGACTGAGACATGGTCTAAAGATCGAGCCTTGGGGACTCTAAGGAAGACCGGCAGGAGTGACCAGAGGCAGGATCAGGAAAGGCAGCAGGGAGACACTAGTGCTGTAGATGAAAACTTCAAAGACAAGGATGATGGCTTCTGGGTTGGATAAAAAGAGGTTGGTGGGCTGCCTGCTGGGCCCATTTTTTTTTTTTTTTTTTTTTGCGGAACTGGGGCTTGAACTCAGATCCTTGCGTTTGCCAGTCAAGCGCTTATCCCACTGAGCCATCTCCCCGGCCCCTGGGCCCATTGTTGAATGAGCTGTTTTAATGCAGGGGTAGATGGGCGCCTGGACAGGCGGTTTAGGAGATTGAGAGGCTAGGATCTAGAAACAGTGAGAATAGTTTATTTTTCTTTGAGACAGAGTCTCGCTTTGTAGCCCAAGTTGGCCTCCAACTCATGGCAGCAGTCCTGCCACAGCCTTCTGAGTACTGGGACTTCAGGCCTGCACTGGCTACTTTTTAAAGCACTTTATTAAGGGTAGGAGGTGTAACACAGTGGGAGAGTGCTTGTCTACGTACAAAACTCTGGTAGAGTGTTCAGCAGTGCAAATAAATGCCACTTCAAGGGGCATTTGGATTTCCTTATCTTGGACATTTCCTATAACTGTCATATTGTACAGGGCCTTTTGTTGTCTGGTTTCCTGCACTTAGCTTAGTGTAGTGAGGGTTCAGACATGCTGTAGCATTTCATAGCACTTCATTCCTTTTTATAGGTGAATACTACTACAATACATGCACGTACCACGTTTTATCAGTTTATCAGTGGGTGGATATGATTGTTTCCACTTGTTGCTGTTATAATTCTGCTGTCAACATGTGTAAAAAAAAATTCACATGTAAAATTTTGTTTGCAGGGGCAGGGAGATGGCTCAGTGGAACAAGCGCTTCCCTGGCAAGCACAAGAGCCTGAATTCAATCCCTGGTTCCGCAAAAAAAAAAAAAAAAAAAAAGATTTTGTTTGGACAGTTTGTTTAGTCTTCTTGATATATCTAAGAGTGGGATTGCTGGGTGCTGTAGTGACTAGTTAGCTTTTGACAGAACTGATGAGCTGTTTGTCTACGTCCAGCAGTGTCCAAGAGTTCTAGTTTTTCCACCTTCCTGCCAACTCTAGCTAACCTTCCCCCTTTCCAAATAGTAGCCATCTTTCTGTGTGTGAGGTACCTTTTGTAGTTTTGATTTACATTCCCTAATGACTATTGATACAAACATATTTAGCAAATTTTATCTGCTTATTGGCTATTTACTTTTTTGTGTAGACTTTTTTTTTTAATGTATTTGGTACAGGGTCTCACTACGCAGCTCAGACTCATAATGAACCTCCTGTTTTCAGCCTCCCCAGTGCTAGGATTTGGTGGCTGGCTCAGCACACCTAGGGGTGAGCCCAGTGGGTTGGTGTGGCATGCGGTGCCGAGGATTGAACCCCAGTCCCAGCACTTGCCTGAGCAGGCACTTAGTCTGTTGAAGTATCTCACAGGCCCTGACTGTTTATTATTATTTTTTTAATTTTTTATTTATTTGTGTGTGTGTGTGTGTGTGTGTGTGTCCAGCTCAGTCCACCAGGGGGCGGGGCTGGCTGGCATGTGGTGCTGGGGATT